TCGTGGGGTTTGTATATTTTAAAATTTAAAATTTTTAACCTTTTTGATTGTGTTGCATTTTAATAATCAATTTTTTATCTTTTATAAAGTTTGTTTTTATTTATTTGTTATTTTATTCAATTGTTGTACGCTGCCCAGAGTTGCCTTGTGTGAGATGGGCAGCTATGTAAATGTGATAAATACATAAATAAATAAAACAGTTGGAAGTGGAGGAAAAAATAGATGGAGCTTAATAAAGGAAATCTTCTTTCATCATACCAGAATTGGTAGTAGAATTAAGTTGCAATACATTTTTTTTAAAAAAAGAAGATAATTTTTTTCATGTTGAATATAGCTGATGTGAAACTCTTCGCGAGCAGAAGTAGTAGCCTGATTTAGAAAATATACACTTCTATGAATAAATCCATGACTAATTAGATTATAAATTAGGGAGGTTGCTCATCCACCAAAATTACAATTGCAATTTATTACCTTTCCAGGCAGCCACCTACAGTACTGTTTAAAGTTATCTGGTTCCTGTTGGGAAAATCCAGGTCACAAGAGAGGCCTTTGGACTGTTACAAAGACTTTGCTCAGCATCTGGAGAATCAAATCTCTTGCATTCACTCAGAAGGAAAGACTAGCTGGTTAAGATGACAGAGGCCTCATCTTGGGTATTTATTGGGGTTCTATCTGAGTCTTTGGATCCTGAGAAAATGGACAGGGTTCTCTATGCTGTCAGTTCTGCTACCTGTGGATTAGATCCTTGTACTACCTGGCCAGTGAAAACTGCCAGGGAGTTAATGGGAGGCTGGGCGCTGTTAATGGTGAATGTGGCCTTGAGTAAGAGGTTATTGCCTTCCACCTTGAAAAAGGCAATGGTACATCTCTTCCTCAAGAAGCCATCATTTGACCCACCTATCTTGTATAATTTTGACTGGTTTCCAATCTTCCAATTTTAGGGAAGGTTGTTGAGCAGGTGGGGGGGGATCTTGTTACAAAGAACTCTGGATGAAACAGATTATCCAGACCCTTTTCACTTCAGATTTAGTTCTTGTTTTGGATGGAAGGTGTTATAGACCCCTCAGAGGCTGAAGGGTCTGATCTGATGATCTGGCAGCCTTGGGAGCCAGCAGGGCAATCACCCAAAGAGACAGTGAGC